GTGTTTTGGACCAAGATTAAATTTCCTGAGACTTTAACTTTTAACTAAGACAATATAAATAAAATCTGCCTGCAGATCATGGTTGTTTTTTAGGAGTGAATTGCAGCAGCCACATTCGTATTTCTTACAGCCTTGTTTTCTTTAGAAATTTACTTCCCACCCCATCATCATAATGAAAACAATTCTAGTAGAAAATATGGGCACTTTATTTCTTGACCTCATCCTTAACGGCTTAGCTTCAGCATAGTGTACAGGTAGATCCCTGATTAAAGGTAAATGTGAAAATTCAGAAAGCACTTGGGACTTAGCATTAAGTAGGTGACATGAACCCTAGTGACTGCTGTCTCCCAAAGCGAAATGTCCCTCATCTACAACTCTCTTGGGACAGGAAGTTTAGTTACTCAGGTGGAATTTGGTGATTCTTAAATATCTCAATATAACGAGGGGGCTACAACACATTCAAAGTGTAGTTATTTCTTTAGAACTGTTAGGACGCCTCCCTTTAGAATCTTCTTGAATACTGTTGCTAAACACACGTTTTTCTCTCTTGAGGCTTGGTCTACATAACCTTTAACACTTATAAATGAGTTGGAATATCCATATAAATGCAAACTTTCATTTACCTTTTAAAATATAATTTTAAAGCACATGTTAATCCAATTACACAAAGAACCTAGATGAGAATTCTTTGTCTTCAGCAAAAACCATAAAGGCTAATTAAGGTCAGACAACCTGTGACTATTTTTGTAGCTCAGGCCTGGGGTACTTTAAGATTTCAGGCTAGAGATGCCTGGAGTAGGAAAGGCAGTGGCAAGGGTTAGTTTGCTTCCTCACTCATCCTCTTGCCACTTGGTTCCCAACAATGACAAAGGAGCACCAGGTAGGTGTTCCTACTTCCTGCCTCCTAAAATCTGAGTTTGGCATTAGCGCTGGGGTTAAAAATACTTATGTGATGTTGAAGGTAGGAAATTCATCAACCCCAGCTAAAGAAAGGCTTCACAGAATAGCTTTATTGTCATAAAACTAGAGGTGGAGTGCATCAGTCTGCTAGAATGGGCAAAATTAGGTTTCTGCCCTAACATATCACTCTGAAGTTAATTTCTGATCCAGGCAAAAAAAAAGAAAAAAAAAAAAGAAAAGAAATAAAGAGAAAACTATTACATGAACTGAGAGTTAGTTTAAGAGAAACAGTCTTAAACAAAGTGATTCTGTTACAAAACTAAAACCCTTCAATGGAAAACCCTGACCCAGACACTCGGCTAATCCCATGCTCTTGGTCCACAGCTTGGCTTCACCACACATCCCCTACCTCCCAAAGCATTACCTGTACCCCAAATGCTTTTGGCTATTGCCAGAGTCATACAGCGCTATCGTTTAGGGAATATATAGTTCATAGTAACCAGATATTCCCTTTTTGTTCATTTTCTGATAAAGAAAAAACTGCAAAGTCTTTAAGGTTCATGAAGCAACAGTTCTGTGTTAATTGCATGGACACTGAAAACCACCGGCATTAGAGCAGGAGCTGTGCAAGACACTGGAAGCTCAACAGGCGTCACGCACTGGAGTCGGAAAAGTAACAGGGAAACTCTCGTAAGTCGTGGGGCCCTTCCCTCCGTCCTCACACCCTTCCATCGATCAGTTTGCATCTCATCCTTTGTGGGACAATCAAGCGCCTCTTATAACTTCAGCAGTTCTAAGTAGCAATATTAAAAATAACTCATTAAGACAAAAATTACTATAATTTAACTTAAAAATAAAAATATTACACAAACTAAATGATTTGAAGAAAAATAATCTGATCAATAATATTGTCAGTTGGTCATTAATCTAAACATTAGAAGTATAAAATAAATTGAAAACAAAGAACAATATTCGAAGACGTTTAAGAAAATGCAATGTAATAGATCATAAATTATGTGCAGAGACTGACAGACATTTCCAGTATATACATCCATTTCCAAATATTACCAAAATGTAAACATAACTTAAGATAATCATCCTATTTCCATTCTTAAAATGAATACAGTGAAACTTCCAGTGTGATCCAGATCACTTTTTTCGGAGATAAGCAAAAATGGCAGAAATTTACAACAGCAAGCACTAATATTACCAGATTTTGACTAATTTAGTCCTTTAGTATTAGAAAAGGTTTGCTGGATTTTGTAGTTCATTAATAGTGGCTCCTTGTTTCTCATGGGATCAATAAATAGCAAAGCACCACACATCTCAAAATCCTCACACCATATCCAGTATGGCGGTCTCACTGTCATGCCCCAAAATGAAAACAGGCGGGGAAAACATACATGGTGACTTTGATACTTGGAAAACACAGTGAATGATCTGTACCTACTGACAAAGTCACTGGAGCCTATCAGATAAATACTCTGCCGCTAAAAAGGAATCAGGCCTTCGGGAAAGGACCGAATTGTGAATTTCTAGTTTAGACAATTCCAGATTTCAGATATTTAGACAAGCAAAAAAAAACAACCCAGCAACAACAACAAAGAGATGGAGCTATACGGGTGGGAGCCCCCTTACATGATCTGTTACCAGTAATTCCAAAGCGTCCCCAAGTTCTGCATAGATAACATTTCCAGTGGAAGACATGGACAGACTCTCCGCGTCGTCAAGGAAGAGAAATACCTGTCCAAGAATTTGTCTGCCCCCGACTATTATTCTGGAACGTGTCCCTTGCAAAGTGGATGACCTCATTTTTAGAGCCAATGTAGCAAAGAGAACCAGACACATAAATATAAAAAGCAAAACAAAAACAAAAACAAAAAGATTCATCATTTGAAATTTCTCAGGATGAGTTCATTTTTTTCTTCCTCTTGCCCTAGTCTCCGGCACTTGAGTTAGTTTGATGAAATGCTGAATTCCTCAATACTGGCTTTAAAATACACGTAACTGCCTCCACTGCTAGAGGCTGCATCCTGCATACTGTCTTAAGCAAACTTTAACTGTAAAGTGAAAATCCCTAAAGAATGGAAGAGAGTGGCTCAGAGAAGCCATTCAGACAGCTTTCCTTTATGGGAACACTCTGTGTGCTCAATAAAACTGCTTCTCCTGTTGCATGTTACTCAAATCTAAATTTTCTGGAACTGGTATTTCTATTTTTCTTAAAAGCACGTCTGTTAAAACGCTAACTGCGTCCACTTGGGAAATCTTGAGTAGAAAATATGTGATGAGTTCCTGGCTGTGTCCCAGTCAGGCTGCAGACCGGCCAGAACGTTCCCCGAGAGAGGAAACCTGGAAACGCTGGTTTCCTTAAAAATCAATTTCCTGTTCAATTTGCTGGGGAAAAGGAATTGTGTTGTGTGTGTCGGAGCCGCTGGAATACTGAAGCGCAGTAGTAGCAAAATAAACAACAGATCCCACCACCCCATGGCTGCACTAATGGCCGAGTTTTCCTTTGTTCGGCTAAGTCTGAAGGATAAATGTTATCCTCAGATTCCCAAGGTAATACCCACATCCACATTCTTACGGCTTCTGCTTCTTTCTGGGGTTAACAAATAACTGATTCTTTTCTCTCCTTCAGATGCCCAGCAAGCAGAACAGTTTGCTTGCCTTCTGCCACAGTAGGTAATGACGTGGCAGGGCATCCACGTTTCCACAGCGGGGCTGTCTCACTGTCCAGACACAGAAATACGGGGGACCTTTCTCACACATTGGAGTGGATCCTGCAGCCCAAACCTCATGGCAGAGGGGTGCTCTCAGGCACGCAGACATGTGCAAATGCTCAGGGCCAGGACCCCATGCTGAAAATTCATGGCACTCCATTAACAACACCAGGGTGGGTCATGCTCTCGTTGGGCACTGTCATGCTGGTTTTCCAAGTGACACACGCACCCACCCAACACAACACAAGACGTTGGTAAGTAAGAGAAGAGAGAAAACATAGCTGCTTTGCATCTCTCACAAATGAGCTCCTTGATTTGCTAACCAACTAAAGATGGCTTGGGATTATTTCAGTAGGTGAAAATGAAGGGTACTCTATTACGGCAGAAGATGCAGTTACTCAACACGAGGTTCCCCAATGTACCTACAGCACATTCCCCCTGCCATCAGTTTATTCTTCATTCCTCCGGAGGAGAGCAGGGCAGGAAGAGGGGGACACTCCTTGGCGCATCCCCCTCTGGCGAGAGGCCCTGTGTTACTGCTCACCAGCACCCTCTGCTGCAGCTGCCATCTTTTCTGTCTTTTTAGATTTCCTCTGCATTTGCTCTTGTTCCTTCCTCCTCAGCTTTTCTCTTTGTTTTTCCATTTTCTCGTGAGCCTTCCGAGCCTTCTCTAGAGACACCTTCATTTCCTTGAGTTTTTTTTTTATCACTGCTCGGTCCTGGGATGAGGTCATTCCAAGAGCCTAAGAAGGAAATATAAATGAACTGAATCTGAAAACCAATGACCTCTCTGCTTATGATGGGGTCTATGTCACCATATGTTCAAACTTAAAAATGAATTTAAACATAATTGAAGAGCTAAAAACTGAACTGAGGAAGAGTTGATCACATCTGCCAAAAATCTACATACCGGGGGACTAACCTTTATTTCTTCTTTTGTTCTTTGAAGTCCTGAGCACAGTACGCCCTAAATCTCACTAAGCAGATGCTTTCCAGGTTGGTCATTAACAGGTGAATGAATGAAAAAAGGACACGATTCTGCTTCTCCAACCTTTAGGCTGTAGACATTTACAGGCGAAAGATGGGAGTGGGCCCCTGCTGCGGCAGAGGGCTCCAAGAAGGGCAGGAAGGATCGCCATAGCTCCCTTTCTGCCAATGTTTTCATTTACAGTGCGGACCAAAAGTGTCTTTCGCACTGGAATGGTCACGTCAGCACGACTAGCCATTCTCTCTCTGTCCGCAGACCTACAGGGGAAGCTTGATTATAACGAGAAGGTTGCTCGATTAGCTTGGAATTCAGAATAAGGGGAATTGGTTACGTGGTACTTTAAACGTTTCATGACCTTCAGAATCAACAGCGGGACGCATCCATCTCCCCAACGGGGACAGCCTTGTCAATGGGGCCCTCATATTCACAGGCTATTGATTGATCTCTAACCTTTTCAAGACTGTCAAGAGATACTCATCTGCCCAGCCACCCAGCAGGGGGCAAGGGTTAGGGGTGGAGAGCTGGCTGTCAGCTCCTTCTGCCCTTTTTCCACAGGGATGGGTGGTGCCACCTCGCCCTCTAAAAAGAGATGGACTGGACAGGTGAAAATGAGACTGCGATGGAGGGGGAGGGAAGACACGGCCTGCACACAATTGGGGGAGAAAGTTTTGGGGAAAACATCATCCCAGTTTTGGAGTGGTGTGCAAGGATGAGTGGGGGTGGAGGAGACAAATAAAGAAGAGAAGGTTCATGAACTGGGTTTTAACTCTTACATGATGAAAGAGTTCACACTGGCCATTATTAAAACTCATACTACATAGAAGTAAGAAGAGTTAATATATGGGCCATGTGTTGCCAGGTGGAAGCAATGGAGTTAGGTCCCTAGCTTTCCTACTCAGTGGCCTACTCTCCAGAACCCCAAAACTTCATTCACTACTCAGAAATAACTCAACGTCCTTTCTGCTGATTGCTGATGAGAATTACCTCTCCCATAGGCAGAATGCGCTTATCTAATGAAATCACTTTAGGTGCTATGAGCAATACAAATTAGACTTGGTCACCTAACAGAGACATATATAATTCTTTACCTTCAGTTTATTTCCATCCAACTGCAGGAGTTGCTCTCCAGTGATGTTTTGGGCACTGAATTCAGAGACATACTGCTCCAGATTTAGGCTCATGAGCCAGTGAGAAACCTGCTGCACATTCCACTCCTGAACGGCCCGATTCTGACACTGACTGTGCTTGGGAGACTGTCCGTCATCAAGGATCTGAGGTAGGAATGTTACGCAGTGTTGTTAAAGGACTGCAGTGCTGTGGCTCAGGGAGGCATATGACGCTACTACAGGGAATTTCTTGCCTACTAGAGCCGTATTTATTATAAACCGTAAAATAAGTTAATAGTTCTAATAGTGTATGTAACACACATAGTTATTATCTACATGTTTTTAGATGCTTGAAAATTTAAAAACTCCCCCAAATAAAACATAATTTTCAACTTGTTTAATATTGACAAGTTCACTCTAATGTTGCAAGTTTTTATATTCAAACACTTTGGAAAGATTATCAGATGCAAAAAACAAAAATTTCATTAAACCCTATATACAATATATCACTCTGCATTTCCTGTCTGATAAGACATTAGAGATATATAAAAACACATTAAATAATGTGGCATCCTTCACTAAGAAGAGGACAGCACTGAGCCCGTGGGCATTTTTAGGGGGAAATTTCACAGCTGTGATTTTATTTGAGCAACAAGCAGACCTGTGAGGACAATGTGGAGGGAATATCCATAATTGCTTTTAATAAGTGAGGAAACTGAGGCTCTGAAAGTCTACAGATCTGTCCAATGCAGAATATTATTTTTAATAAAGCAAAGAGAAGGTTGGTTCCTAGAACCACTAAGCTGAGAGGAGATGAGGCGATGATGGGTCTGGGAGGAGAGACCGAAGTCACCTTGGTGACGGGCAGAGAAAACACAGAAGAGGGGATGGGTAAGCTGAGATGAAGGCAAAGAAGGCGAAACAGAGTGAACTGGGTCAGCTGGGTAATGGTGATGGGGGACACAGCGCGGGACTCTGGAGGTGGGATCTGAGATCCTCTTGAATAAGGAATATCTCTTAAACTGAGACACAGACAAGGGCAGAGAGTGGAACTACGTAACACAAGCAATGCCTCCACTACAGAAGGGCTCTTGTACTGTTTGAGTTTTCAATCATCTGCAAAGAGAAAAGGTTCAAACAATACCAAAAAAACACCAAACACAGCCCATCGATAGCTCACCTCGTCATCTATCATATCCAGGCTCTGAGTGAGGGAGCAACAAAGGAAATCAAAGAGAAAAATGTTACAGAAACAGGAGCCACAACATATACAGTACAAAGTCTTAATAAAGTTAAAGTCATGCCAAGCCTGAAGGATATGGGCAAAAAAGTTTAAGAGAAAAGAAATGTTTTACAAAACAAAAAACATGTCTGCAAGAAGCAACTAAGAACACATATTTAGAGCAAAACTGTACTGACAGTGCCTCTCCCCCTCCCTCCCACCCCAATACTGGTATTTCTTTCCTCTATGTATCTCTTGGGGCACTAAGTCAGTCACTAAGGTAATTTCCTGCCTCTTTTGCACATATTTATCTCCTGGGAATTCTTAGCAATGCTGTTTTGACCTTGGCATCTAAATTAGTGGTCTTAGTAGCTATCTTTCCTTATCAGAACTGCATCTCTCCCCTTTCCACTGCAGTGATTCTCAATGAGGGGCCACACCCAACTCGGAAGGAATGTCAGAATCTTAGGTTGGGGGTGACAGTGGGAAAGGTGAGGAAGAAAGGGAAGGGCAAATTTGTAAACTCCATGAGACTTCTGAGCTATTTCCTATTTTTGCTCTCCAGTGCCCAGCCTCCCATCCCCACCTCTCTGCTGAGAGTCATCCCATTTGGAGCACAGAAAGGCTGAGTAGGAGTACACAGTATACAGTTAAGGGACATCCCTGGACAGCTTAAAGAGGTTCAGAAACAATATTTTGCTTTCTTGTTGAGACAGAGAGGGAGAGGCCAATTTCCTGTCATATATGAAACCGTGGTCTTGATGTCTACATGCATAATCTACCTTAAACACATTTTCCCTGTGAGAGTGCACGGGTAAATGTGTGCCTGGGAAAGTAGTTCTGTTATAAGTACCATGAGCATACCTCATCTGATGATAGTGCTAAGGACTGAGAGAGGCCCGGGGTTTTGGGCTCTGCTCCTAGGCCACTCAGGTCTGCCGAACTGGTACTACTGGGACTGAAGTCGTCATTGAAGGTAAAATTCTGTAAAAATAAACGAAGCTCAGGGTTAAATGAGCACCATGAATGAACCTGAGGTAGGTGTGCTTGCAAGTTCTAAAAAGGTTATTTTGAAGTAATCTCAGGAGTTGATTTGAGGGTTGGTGGTGACCTTCGATCAGGCAGTGTCTGAGGACACGGCACCTTCTGTGGTGAATGGGGAGTTGTGAGCACCTTCTCTGTCGGGTGAAAGGAGAGGTGTTTTGGAGGAATGATTCTTCAATCTCTCTTCAAGGGTACAGCATTCATTATCCTCTGCAACTGCTCAGAGGAGTAATATTAATGAGCCCATCTTCTTTGACCCTACTGGTGATGAGCAACAGTGTAAGTAAAAAATACAAGGCGGTGTGGAGAGCCTGAGTTACTAGGAACAGATGGCGATCCATATCAGACAGGTAGCTGAGCACCCCTGGGAAGGACCGCTCGCAGTTGGCCGTGATGAATACTGTGAGAAATGGCAGATCCTCTCCTGGATGTGACCTTCACGATGATGGGTTCTGGGGGAGGTCACAACCTGACTACACTAGCTACATGCTAAAATATGACTCACATGGCACCAGCAGAGTCCAAAGAGGCTGTAGCATGAACAGATACATGTTCTCAAGTAATTACCTGGGAGTATAAAGAAAACTTCCCCAGAACTTCATTAAAATGTTCAGTGGATATTAAAATCAAATAAATTCAAGACTGCAGAGCTGCACTTGTGAAAACATTTTAAACCAAATCTGGAGTCTCTCCAGTGTAAGATAATGGAAGAATTATTCAAACAACATTGAGATAGATCAGATCCAAAGTTGAAAATGTCTCAAGGTCTACTGCTGCCAAAACCTCTTATCTAATTCTAGAATGACTGGCTTCCCAGGGACTCGATGAACTTGACCAAAACCCATCTTGCTTCCTACTCCACTTCCTTAGAAATTGGACTGTTAGTTTTCCATTAGTTTCTCTTGTACTGGTTTAGTTGGCTGTCAAGAATAAATGCCATGCCAGAGGCTGGAGAATTCAGTACCAAACAAACTCCGAGGTTTGCTGAAGCTTCAGAGGAGGAGATTAAATCAGAGCACATGGAGCTGGGCTAGTAGAACATTTAAGCAGGAGGGCATTGAACACAGCACATTACCATTTGATATCGTCAGGAGAAATACAACCCCAAAGCCCATCAAAACCCTGTGAGCTGCCAACCACAAGGAAAGAATTAAATTCAAATAACATTAACCACACGTTTCTGTTTGAGAAAGAAAAGTGAACACAGATAAAAGGAGACCAAACAACATGTGAAAGTTAGCCACCGTATGTGTTTCAATAAAATGTTAGGTAAGGTTTGCAGTGTCATGCTGGAAATAATCATCATGCACTTAAAATCAAGTAGCATCCATGCACATAATCCCTAATTCTGCTAAAGTTAAAGAACTTTTGTGATAGAATTACAACAGCTGTTTGACATGAAAGTTTGATTTAAAAGTAGAAATAAGTAATGGTGCTATGTCAGCATTGGTTTGTTTTAAAGAGTTTCATTCAGATGTATTGAACACATATTCAGTCCCAAATTTATCTGTTTTCCAGTAAATCTTGAAGAGCGCAGCAAAAATAGTTTGGTAATTTAACTTAAAGTGGAATACTCGGTAAACAGATCTATCACACTGTGCCGTGATTCAAATGCATCCTTCCCAGCATGGCTTAACTGTCAAACTGAGATTAAGTAGCAATATGTGAAAAGACAGGCAAATCAAGGACTAACGCACAATCTAGAATGGAACGGTATTTAAGAAGGTGATGGTTAAATGGCTTTCTTCTCCCCACTCAGGAAATAACCATGCACTGTTTAGGGCAGTGTTATCGCACTGGTGTCTCGGATCCAGAGCACACACACAAGCTGAGAATGCTTCCCAAAGATTGCAGAGGAGGCAGAGATTTGGGGTGTCCTGGTTTGCTTTTTTAATCCGTGTGTTTTCTACCTTGGACCCCTTTTTATCTGAAATTAGAGTTTCAGAAGAAGGCTGGACGGGACTTGGAGGCGTAGGCAGGTTCCCGAAGGAGTAGGATCCTTTCCGGCTCTCGTGAAACCAGGAGAAAGGCGCGCAGGGCGAGCGCGGGGAGGCGGGCGCCGCGCAGGCTGGCCTGGGCTTCGGCGTGGGCGTGGGCTTCGGGGTGGGCGTGGCCGTGGCTGTGGCCGTGGGCCTGGGCTTGGGCTTCCAGCGGTCCAGCCTGCCGCCGAAGATCCTGCGGCAGGGAGAGAGCGGCGTCAGAGCAGAAAGGGCGGGCGCGATGCTCCACTCGGGGAGCTGAAATCTAAGGGGCTCCGAAGAGTTAGAAGGAACACTTTGAGAAATTGCCCTAAGCAACAGATAAAAGTAAACATTTCTCACTTTTGACTAGAACATTTATCCTAATTGCCATATTTTTTGCATCTAAATGGATACTGTAATGATAGACATTTTTGTACTGCTACTGCCACGGTGAATTTTTATGAAATGTGCCTAATAAATATAAGGGTGGGCAAAAGTTAGGTCTACAGCTGTTTGCATGGAAAATAATATAATAATCAATAAATAATAATACGAGAATAAACCCTGTGTTTCACGTACTCTCAACCGCAAACCTACTTCTGTCAGCCCCTGCATATGTGGATGAATTAAAATCAGGGAGGAGCATATTTTTTAGGAACTGCTAGGAGGTTAGTCATCCCAGCTTTCCCTTTATTTGGGTCACATATCATTGCCTCCCTGCTAGTGACATTTAGCTCGTAATGAGCATTCTTTCCTGGCCTCCTCTGAACTCATGTTCCCAAGAGTCTAAACTTTACAAAATGCTATACTTAATAATTTGGAAATTTCAGGGCTCAGGACACTTTAAGCAAAACATACGCCTTGTTGGTTTGTCATCATAATCTTAGCGCCTTTTCAGAGGAGAGCACCAGACCTGAAGTCTTAATACTCTACTTGGAGGCCAGGGTCTGCCACCTGCTGAACACATGGCCTTGGGCCTCCTCTCAGCCTCTATTTTCTCATCTGTAAAAGGTGGATATTTAAGTATCTCATATATGGTTAAGAATTAAATGAGGTAAGGTGTGTAAAAAGTACACTGAAAACTAAAATGGTTTATGCTTATTGTTTAACATTCAAAGGATTCAAAGGCATTTGAGAACACCGTTGGAAAACAGTTATTTTTCTTAATATCTTGCATTTTTATATTTATGTTTTGGTTAGAGAAAAGTAATTACTAGGAACTGAGGCAAGAATGGGCAGTAGTGTCTGTGCATCTTGGAAGTGGTCACCCTCAATGTGTCCAAATATTTGATGCGATGCCTATAATTTGTTAGCTGTTGATGTCCTGACAACAAAGAGATTCCCTTTCATTTAAAAGGGCCTCAACACTTTAGCTAGACAACTTATGTGAGACATGGATACTGAATTTCAATCTTCTCGCATCTCACTTCAAATATTTTGAAATACTACATGTTTTAAATTTAATTGTAAGTAGTGTAACTCCTAACAATTCCTGTCCATTTTGAAAGGTTGCGAGAATCAAATGAGACAATAAATATAAAAACATCTTGTAAACTGTAAAGCAATATACAAGTGTAAAGGGGTTGTAAGAATGATAACTAAAGAGGATGGGAAAGCCAGTGAAGTTTTGGTAGAATACTGACACCATAGGTTGGGGGAGAAAAATGGGTGGTTACACTAAAGATCTGATGATGCGCATGGTGTATTTTCTTTTTTAGTGAATGGAAGCCATTCGCTTTTTAAAAAAATTGATTTTTAGAGCAAGAGGAAGGAGAGAGAAACATCGACTGGCTGCCTCCTAAACCACCCTACCAGGGATCGAGCCCGCAACCCGGGCATGCGCCCTGACCGCAAGCTGAACCAGCAACCTTCTGGTGCGTGGATGATGCCCACACCGGCCAGGGCTAAATGGCGTATTTCTTAAGAAAACAAAAACAAAACCCCACAAAGGGGTCTGCAGGGATAAAAGAAAGACCGACCAGAGATGTGTCAACCTTTAAATTCATCCGAAAGTTTAAAAAACAAAATTTGTATCCTTAAATCCACCTACTTACTGTCAAAAGGCAGAGGAGTACACTAACTGAACTAGGAAGCACGCGAGCAGGGGCAGACAGGCTTCCGCGGGAAGTGCTCTTCACTCCTGGGTCCTGGACCTGTCCGGTGAGAATCACTGGGGCAGCTGTTTGGATGCAGATTCTTGGACACCCAGACTTACTGAATAGAATTTGGAGAAGGGAGGAGTTGACCTGGAATCTACTTTAACACATGTTTGCACTGACTCTTAACATTTTTAATGTCTATGTTTATTAATATTATCCTGAATGCAAATATGAGGATTCTGGATCAGAACAGGTTATTAATTACTTACAGAAAATTATTGCACTGGTTCCTCATATCATAATTTCCTCTCTCCAGGGTGACGTAATGAGAACCAGATGTCCCATATACTTGGCCTACACTGTAGGTGTGAAATCTAAAAATCATGAATCTGGATGGTTATATAGGAAAGGGGCAGCTGTCCCCACTTCCCCTCTGAGAGAGGGAGGGAAATCTTACCTACTCAACATAAACAAATTCAACTTGGGAAGGATCTTGGGTTCTTAGCCTTTGGAAAGTAACATATGTCCTAGGGGAGATAAAACAAGTTATCGCCAGCTTTACAAGCTTGGGAATGTCTCCATTCCTTCTCTGATCCCCACTCCTTGAAAATGTAACTACACATCTCTGGGGAGGTAAATCTCTCTGCAGATCTCACTGTTTATCGGTAATTTAACTTCTAAGGTTTGTCTTTTAGCACAGGTCCCCACATATCAGTAAAAATGCCGAGAAAGCTCTAATATAAAAATATTTTCTCTGTAGTCTCAGTCTTATAATTGGGCATATTTGAGATAAACTGAACCTGGTGATTAATTTTCTCCTTTGGTTATAAATTCCTGAATCAATTAATCAAAATGACATGGGAAATTCTTTAAGAGTTCCATGCACAGTTCAAATAAGGTATGGTAGTGTTTCAATACATGGACACTGTTTTGAAGCTTATACGTAGGCTATTATCAATGACAGCTTGACTATCTTGTCTTATTCCCAAGTGAACTGCCTTTGTAACAACACTTTTAGAACTGCCACCACCACCTCTTTTTTCTTAATAGGCAGGAAATAAAAATATTGGTGTGTAATTTTTGTCATTCTAATGACTTATTTGAAAAGAACTTTTGGTACTTCAAATCCTGGCCACGCAACATTCCAAAGAAAATCTGAAGACCGCATCTAAAGGCTTCCATAAAATTCTCGCTGCCAGGAAAATATTCAAGACATAAGTCCAGGTGCACTTGGACACCCAGCACTGAAGATAGGCCTGGATGCTGCAGGGGAGTGCGATGAAGGAGACCAAGGAGGCTCAGCCTCCGTTGATACCCAGAGGCTCTTGGGGATAATGCAAGATAATGGAAGGCATGGAGGAAAAGCCACGAGGGAAGCAACGCCAGCCCACTTCTAAAGAGCAGCTGTGTCCTCCCAGCTGCAAACCACCAGGTCCTGAGGTATTTTGAAAAATAGTTGCCAATTCCCTGGTGATTTTTGAGAGGTTGGTTTTAACTCTGAATACAAGGTGTGTGTATTATTCAGAATCTATGGAATGTCATCAAAATCTAATTAGGAGTTTAGGAACTGCCAGACAGAAAAGCATGAACAGAACACAGAATTCAGGCAGGTAGCAAAGGGGATGAACTGAAGAAACTTAGGTGCAACGAGAGGGAGAGGAAGAGCTGCAGACTTCTACTTACTCACATCAGATGAAGTGAGTCTGTAAGGTTCTAACACCTACCAAGGAGATGGAAGCTGTAAATCCAGTTCCTTCTGAAGGGGACTTGGAGACCCTTGAAGGAAACAGCTGTGACGAGCATGTGTCCATCTGCAGCTCAGGCAACCGTCTGGACAAACCCTGTTTCCAGATCCTGAGCTGTGGTCTAAATCTCTGAACAATACAAACAGCCCACCTGAGATGGTCACTGCAGGGCATTCAACTTTAACTTATGACAGGGCTCAGGAGAGCTACCCAAATGTGGCACTTCCGTAGAGTGAATATTTTAAGCTGAAGTAATCTGAGAAATGGCAGGTGCAGGAAGGGCTCTCTGACCTCCCCGATCTCCTCTGAAGCAGGTCCTAAGACACTCACGTGAGCGGTGCCCTCCCTACAGAGTCCACGCAGGCCTTGCTCAGCGTCCCGGTTCACTGTCCTTAGTCATGCCCTTCATACCCTTTCCTACCACATTTTCCTACGACTTTGTACTCCTGATAAAAATACTCAGACCTAACCCCTCCTTTGGGTCTTCATTTCCCTATGAAGGCCCCTGTGCCACATAAAAATTATATTAAATAAGTTTATATTCTTTTCCTTTGTTAATCTGTCATTTGTCAGTCTAATTACAGGGATCCAGCCAGATTCCTAGGAGGGTAGATGGAAAAAGATTATTTTTTCCTCCGCTACACTCATTTGAAATGGAGAAACTGTCCCCTTAATGAGTCTCCCCCATACTAAGAAGATTTAAAAGGCAACAGCAAGATGATCATGCAACTAAAATCCATATTCTCAAAACAAAAATATTAAGTTCAGGAGTAATATATTGCTTAGGATTTAAGAAAATTTGTATCATTAAAAATCTGAGAGAGAAATTTGTCTATTGATTCTATCTTAATATATTTAACTGGTTTCAGATTTAACTATTTAAGATATAACATAACCACATTAATAAGACTATTGGGATGTTTAGGATCACTACAGTTATTATTTTAACTTATTAGATTTTTTGAGTTTTTTTAAGAATGGGAAAGTGTTGACTTGTTGGGAACGTAAGTTTGTCAGGTTTCAGGCATTGGGGAATACTTAAGAAAACTGAATAGATTAAATTAATAAATGCAGCTAAAAACAGGACAGAGGATTATGGGGGAACAAGTCTGTTCTACTGAGGTTAAGCTAATATTATTCAAAGGCCTCTGTGAAAGTAACTGCTTTTATTTCATATAAAAATAGAAGATGCAAAAACAAAATGACAAGATCTGTAAATTAAATTGAAACTCAAAAAATGCTAAGTTTTCAAACTGGAAACTTTAATAAATTACTCTCAATTTATAACCCAAATAATCCTCTTTTTAAGAACACAGGTACCTTTGGACATTAAAAATACCAAGTGAAGGGGAGAACCCACTGGAATTATATTCGCAGAGTTAAGCACTGTCCTGAGCTCCTGCCATCACTGTTCATGGCCACACAGTGGCTAGGGTAACGTTTGCTTTAAAACTTCCCAGGTCAAATTAATCTGCCTTTCTGTAATGGTCACTTTCTGCTGGTCATTTACAACTTGCATTTTTGTTCCTGTGTTTTAAAAGGACAATTCTGGCTCCTCTCTCGGTGCTCCGTGGGCCAGATTTGGGCAGAGGTGAGGTGTTTTCCCCTCCTGCACATGTGCTCAGCTCCTCAACTCTTCTGAAAGTGTTTTCACTCCAGCTTAGGCGCAGAGGCACTGCCCATGCTCAGCATCAGGGCAGAGCTTCCTCCAGGTCCTAGCCTTAGAGTATGATCTCAGACTCATTGCAATGCCATAATTTACCTAAAGCTTCTTGGAGAGAAGCATCTATGAAGGGCTGTCTGAACCATAATCCACAAGTCCTTTCATTCTTCAAGATAACACTGAAGTCAGCCTTGGATTGAACAAAACTGCCAGCAAAATACATCTGGAGAATACTTTGCTTAATATTCCTGTGATCAGAATGGCTTTAAGTATAATGACAGCCACTTATATTTATTAAGAACTTTAAATGTGCTTAAATATGACTTTCTCAATGCTCCCCATGACCTAAAGAGGTATGTGAGACATGTATATGTTTCTGTCTCACAGATGAGCAAACTGAGGCAGAGAGGTTAAGTAACTTGCCCAAGATGTAAGTGGCAGAGCTGGGATTTGAGCCCAGGCTCTTAACCACCTTGACATTATGCTGTTGGCTTTTACTAAGGCCACTGTTATGTTTACTATGAAGGTACTGTTGAAGGTGTTCTATTTTAGGAACCAACCTTTTGCTTTATTTTATTGCCCTTAACCAATGTACTTTTAAAATAAATTATGTTGACTCATGTGCACTTCTCTATATAAACAAATCATATCTGGAATAAAGAGAAGTACACACAGATAAAAAAGAATAAACAAATGAATACATGCTAATTTAAAGATCAACTAAATAATGAGTTAGAAATCAAAGGCGTATTTGTTTTTCATAGAACTGCATGGATCAACACTGTCCAACAGAGATATAATGTGAACCTCATTGTATAAATTAAAATCTCCAGTAGTCACGTGATAAAAATTTTTTAAGCTAAAGTTATTTTTTATAATATATTTTCCTTAATCCAAATTATTACTAACATATTTAACATTCTTTTTTTCATACCATGTCTTTGAAATCCAGCACCCGTTTTCTCCCACAGCACATCTCAGTATAGACTAGGCACATTTCAAGTGCTCAGCGGCCACATCTGATGAGAGGCACCTACTGGACAGTGCAGATGGAGAAGGCTGGATGGTGAGAGACCAAGTTCCTCCAGGCCACCTCACTTATGTTTTGGTAGGAAACCAAGGCCCAAGGAACTCAGAGACTTACCTATGGCAAAGTCAGGATGAATACTTGGATTCCAGCTCAGTATTTTTTTCACTGTTCACACTTAGGTAAAGGAAGACTCACTTCCCGAGAGAAGTGCCATCTCCCTCCCCTGTCATTTTCCCACATGCCACCCTCTAGCATTTCTTTGCAGGCTTTGTTTGTTTATTACCATTTAACCTCACCTATTTGTTTCCTGTTGGGCATGTATTTGAGTCACTATGTCTCCACAAGGAATAAAATCAATTCTTTATTCTTTGGGAAGGAAAAAACAAAACCCAAAAACAAATTTAGCAAATGTCTTGCCTTTTTAATGTCTAATAGCCTCTGATTATAACTGAATGACTTCATCAGATTTTTACAACCATGTAAGAATGGGAAGAGACGCCTGCCTAGGCGATAAGATTATGAACTTAATCCATGAGGCTTTCCTGAGAAAGCCTCACAGGGGTGATGAATTTATTCCCACTTCTCCACAGCTGCAATGGGAGCTTGTGGCTAATGGGCCTGACCACCCACATACCTTCAGGGACCCTGTGAAACCAACTCAGCTGCACTAAGGTGCCACCTGGCAGTAAATGTTCTTCCTGGAATATGTTTTATATGGTTCTGGACATTATCAATCTACATAGAAGAACAAAGGCTGTAATTAGATTTGATTAATGTTAACTAAATTACGTGGCAGCTCAAAAAAATATTTTTCTGAAATAGTCTATCTTCTTCCCTATTCCACTATTTCCATTACATGGATTCCTTTCAGTTCGGTCAAAATTCTACTGTAATTACACATAATCTGAAAATGATGATTCTCATTTAAAACTATTATGTAGCACTGGTACATGTGGAACTATCTGTGATCACTAGCTGGTCTGAAAGTTGGCCTTAGGCACGGTGAGGCACTGTGAGCATGACACCTACCACTGACAACCCAGGGTTTTGCCTAGAGTGAGGTGAGCACTCACCAACAGAATCCAGACTCTGTGCTTGATTTTCATCTGGGATTATACAAGGCAGTAATACTCTGGCTACTATGCTGACATTCGGTTAAACCTTCTCATGCCTGCTGAATGCCTGTGTTTATGTCCCTTTTAGCCTCAAAGGTGAGAGGGAGTGACTGTCTCAGAAGCCCAGGGACAAAAGGGAGGACAGTGCCCCTTCAGGGGCGTCCGAGTTTCTCTCCCAGTGTGTATTTGGGCATCTCTCTCTCTCTCTCTCTCTCTTAAACAGTTTCATTATGGGTTTCTTTTCTTTCCCCCAAGTATATTTGATAGTTTCCTATTCTTAACTTTAAGGCACAAAGCAGACTGTTTTATATTTCTCACTCGGAAACCACACAAAGTTAAATCTCTTTTGAGTTGCATTATAGTCTTACTTTTTCTGAGATTGCTGCCCTCAATACAAACAGAGCTTTCTACCTTTCTCTACTTTATAGCATAGTGGAAAACCATACTCACAAAAATAATTAATTTGGAACTCTCTCTTCTCACCTCCCCCCCCCCCCC